CGAAGGGAAGAGAGGGTCCTGTGGTTTGGTGTGTGTCAGGTGAGTCCCACCAACTGCTGGCAAACGCAGCCAGGGCTGATGCTGCATCCAGATGCTCTGCTGGCTGTTCAGCTAGCATCTGCTGCACAAAGGCCCAATGGCTTGGGGTCAGGTAAGGGCCTGGGACAGTCTTCCAGAACCTGGAGGAGTGGAGAACAAGGCCTGCGGTGAGCTAGCTGTGCAGGAGGAGGACTGAGGAAGGCATGGATTTGTGGTGTACCATCTCTCTTGGTGCTGGTGCTGAGCCCATGCAATGGCTTGAGTGAAGGACAACTGCGCTACTGCTTCTGCTTCTTTGTCTGTATCTGGCCACAACCTGAGAAGCTGTGTTGCATATCAACCACCAGTTAGTGTCAATGGCTATGGAAAGGAAGAAGGGTCCATGTTCAGTAGTGGTAGTCACCTGAAATGCAATTACAACCCCAGTGCTCCAAACGTTGACCTTGTGGCTGCAGTTGGCTAGTGGCCGCTGCATTTCTGGAGCAATGAAGCAACAGGTGCCCGCTCCCAAAGTGTTAGAGCACCAGGTGGTGCCCAGCGGTCTGTCCTGCAATGCAAGGCCAAAGTCAAGCACAACAGTGGAACCTACACCACTGTCATCCCCTGGCAGTGTGGTGGTGAAGACCACATTGTTGGGCAAGATGTTGCAGTGAACGATTCCACACTGGTGAATGTCCTGCAACACCTGTACAAAACCACCAAGAGCAGGGTGTGAGTTGGCCACTACAACATCAAAAACCAACACATGTTTACCTGCAGAATTTGCTGGGTGTATCTAGCAAATACTTGGTCTGAAGCCAGCTGAGCTGAACCTGCAAAGCAAAGACACATCAGCAACACCACTCACAGCCTCTCCTCTCCCTCTCTTTGTGGGTGTGTGTGGGTAGAGTTGTACATACCAGTTGAATCATAAAACATGGAAACACCAAGCTGGGCTGGGTAGCGCCACCAACTGGGAACTCAACCATGCCAAGAAGCTGCACTACATTTGATACCTCCCAGAGCTGGAGGAGCTTGCTGGCCTCATCCCTTGTGAGCTGGTGCAAGCTCACCACCTTCACCACAACCCACTCTCCATGGCACCCAAGGCTTCCTTTGGCTGCAGTGCACAGCCAAACCTCAGTACAGGGAGTTCTGGGTGGCTGGACAGCATCAGCAGCAGCATTTAATTAACATCAGAAGAGGCACAGTTGTACCTTGAATAAACAACAATTGGATGGAGGGATGGCATGCAACTGTTGGTGAGCCATCACTGTCTGGTGGCCCATGGTCCTCTCATGGCTCAGCACCAGCCCACAGTTGTAGTACCTTCAGCTTTGATAGGCATGTGGGACAGTACCAGGAACCTGATGGCTTCTTCACAATCTTGATGCACTCCCAGTGGAACCATTGCCCACACCTGTTGCAGAGGATGTACTTGCCTTCAGTCACCTTTTCACAGCAGTGCCATTGCCACCAGAGGTCTGAGTGTGGAGGAGGAAGATAAATGAGCTTATTGCAGATGTTGTCCAGCATTCCACCGACAGCCTGGACAATCTTGATGATCTTGTGCCTAATGAGGAAGCATTGCTTGAGGTCAATCTGGTTCAAGATCATCAGTTCAATCAGAGGGCACACCTTGATTCTCTTGGAGTGCCAGAGGCAAGTGAGGCAGAACTTCTGGCCACTCATATGCATGCTAAATGCAATGGGGAACACAATGGGGAATGCAATCTTCTCACCTCCCTCTGCCTTGGCAATGAATGTGTTGAGCAAATTGAGTTGTTGGAGTATGCAGATTGTGGAGGCGTAAACCAATCGGTCCCTGTGAGCATAAAGGTTACCAAGTTCAGTTGAAACAGTTCACAAAAGAAAGAGGCACCAATGATTCCTGCATGACATCCCACAGTGTACCACATGTCTGCAGTGCAGTGAGCTGGTTTGTACTCTCCAATGTCCAGTGGGAAGATTGCTTGCCCAGCACGTAGCTTGGCCCAATCACCAGACAGGGAGATGTTTGGACTGATACAGAAGTCAGGTTGTATGAACTTAGTCCCCTTTGGGCGAGCGAGGGCGCCTTGCAGTTGCACGTCTCTAGTGTGCAAGGAAAACCAGAGGTAGGGAGGGGTCGAGCAGCAAATAGCAGTGACAAGCCAGGTACCAAGACGTACCCGTCAAGGCGGATGCTCCTCAAACTGTGCCCACTGAGGGTCAGAAGCCCATGGAACTGAGTCGCCCAAGTCAGCTTGCTTGCGTCTGTGAGCCTGTTGAGATTGTTGAATGTTTGCAGCAGCATGGCTGCCAAAGTGGCGAAGGTGGTGTGCTCATTGTCACCAGCCTCCACCTTGTCTTTCCACAAACTGTCGATCCTTGCACTGTCACACTCCACGAGCTGAAAGCTCATATACATTAGTGAAAATTAGTGCTGCTCACCTTCTTCGTCCCTCCAATATTGATGTCATTGTTGTTGTTGTCGTTGTTGTTGTTGTTGTTGTTGTAGTTAAACAGAGACAGGGGAGGGGAAGAGGGGCGCACCTCGAAAAGTGGCTCTAGAGTCGTAAGCAGTGTGGTTGAGTCGGCGTTTAGCGCCGCCCTACGGTGTGCAGGCCTGCCGAAAGCGCCCACCCAGGTGGAAAGCGCTTTATTTGCCTCAGCGTATGATCTCCAGCCGGACTCGTTCGATCCCAAGGAGGACAAACTTCGTGTTCCGCTCTCTCCTTTGGTCAAGGGGGTGGCCACTGATCGAATCGCGTCTAAGAGGTTAGCTACTCGATGCCACAACCACACCATTCAGATGGTGTACAACGTACCCTTG